TTCGACCTTGGACCGACCTTTCCACATTAGCAAAGACGCTCGTTTTCTTTAGACAATGTTGGTTTTTGCCGAGTGGTAGCGTCGACGTTTCACAATTCGACACAAAATGCCTGCCCAACTCCGATCGCCTTCTTGATTGGATCTGATTGCACAATCTTATCGAAACTTTCCAGACTTCCACATTGGACAACGCCATCTCGTACGCAGCTGGTGCGCACTTGGTATCCGGGTAATGGATCTCGCAGATACATACACAGATATCTTCCAGAAATTTCCGAGCAGACAAGAGGACGAATTGATGTAGTTACCTCCGACACGCAGCACGTTGCGAATGCGTTGCGATCTGTTCCGTCGCACATCAGGAACCTGAAACGTCAAGGTCGCAATGTGATTTTCTGGAACGGCTTTTCAAATCATCCGGCATTCAAACCTCCTGCCTTGCTTTTGGCTCATTTTCTATGCTCTATAACCTCGACGTCTGGACGGACGGCGCGTGTCGAGGGAACGGCCAGTCGTGGGCTATCGGTGGAGCGGGTGCATGGTTCAGTAAGCCGGTAAATGGTGCTCGAGGATGGCTGCGCCAGCTCTCACTGTATCCAACCCCCACGAATCAGAGTGCGTTCAAACTCAACGTGCGTCATCAACGACGATCCATCTCATCGATGTTTCTGTTCGTTTTTCAGAAGCGGGATTGGCTGGACTGATCGTGGCGCTCGAGACTGCGAGCCAGCTGCGCGACCCAATGTTTGTCCGGCTCACCGTTCACACGGACTCGACGTATGTTATTAGGTGTATGACTCATTGGCTGGATGAGTGGAGGGCCAACGGATGGGTGAACGCCTATGGTGAGTTGCAACTCTTGCTTCCCAGATTCTCGATGGCTAACACAATCAAGGGTACTCAGTTGCGAACCGCGACTTGATTGAAGAAGCAGCGGAGCTGGTGCAAAGCCTGGACATGAATGGGGTGAGATTGAAATTTGTATGGGTCCCAAGAGACGAGAACCGGGAGGCGGACAGGCTCGCAAATCAGGCGTGTGACAGCCAGGAGCAACGCTGGAACGGTAACCCGTATCAAGCTCCTGGACATTACGGTTTTGCGCCCTACAGGTAGATAAATCCCGAGAACACCATAAATAGCAAAAGAGAAACCTGAAATATCTCCAAATATTGTCCAAATATGAGGTGTTTGACGGAACATTGTTTGCATATCCGAGTTGCATCCAAAATCTTACTGATGCTGTGAAGGTCTGAATTGTGCTCAGAAAGGCTTGGAGGCGGATGGTCCGCACCTGCAACATATAGTGGTCTGGTCATGTCAAGTCTTGATGCAGGAGTTGCTCGTTCGAATCGAGCCCGAGCCATACAGATGCGCTGCTCCCTTGAGAGCTTTTTTCCCATCGCAGCTCAGTTAGTCGGACGAAACGGAGCGCACACTGAATTGGCCATTTGTTGCGTGTCCTTTCACTGGCAAGTAAGCTACGGTGTTGCGGTGTCCGCTTATTTGTACCATTCTGATCCAGACGCCGGGAAGAGGTCACCATATTCTTGGAGTCTTTCATCCAAAGTGGTCGAATGTCTTGAAGTTTTGGAGTTTGTTCAGAAAGGCGTGGAAACAGATGGTCCGCACCTGCGATAAATTCGATAGTCGCAAAACGCACTTGGGGCAGATCCCTCGTTCGAATCGAGCCCGAGCCGTTGCCAAGGAAAACGCAAATTCTTTTGGCTTTTGGATTTTGAACTCGCCAGCACAGACGCTGCAGGAAAAATTGGGTTATTACTCGTCATAGTTTGTCTGTCCAGAATTTCACTGGTACACTGAAGGTCTGGATCATGCTCAAAAAGGCTCTGTAACGGTGGTCCGCACCTGCGAGGTATACCAGACCACTCAAAGTCTTGATGCAGAAGTTGCTCGTTCGAATCGAGTCTGAACCATCGCCTTGACAATACCAGTTGGTTTTTTTGGTTCTCCAAGTCCAGCGTGAAGAAGACAAGGCAAACTCAACTTGCCCCGACCCGTTGCGATCTCATTTTATTCTGAGCACTGCGGTGAGTTGCAGAATTTTGCAGCCAGATTCAGAACCGAGGGCCACTCCACAGTGTCCACATGCAGCGCTGCATCCTACTTAGACGGAAAGAAAGGTCCAAGATATCGCGAGTTCCAGTGCTTTGTTGAATAGTCATGAAAGCTTGGTAGTCAATGGACCGCGTCCGTAAAACTTGAACGGTAGATGTTGAAGATTTACGCTCGTTCGAATCGGGCCCAAGCCATGATAATTACGCAGGTGATCTTTTTTGGCCTTACTGAGAGTCCTCAGACAGCACTACCGGGAGCCCACAGGGTTAGTTTTCTTCCCATAGCAGCAGTATCTCGACTTGAACGTGTAAATCCAAGCTGCGGATTTGTGGCTGCGTGTATTCCATTTGCTTGAAACGGCTAGAGTGTTTTCAGGGTCCTTGAATTTCTTCGTTCCTGGACTCAAAAGACTCGGTAACAGGTGGTCTGCAACTGCGAGATATAGCCTGGTTTAGTTGATGAGATGATGAAATCTGGTTGGCAGGAGTCTAAGTTGCTCGTACGAATCGAGCCCGAGCCGTGTTGGCGAGAGGTGGATTTTTTTTTTTTGGAGGGGGCGGGGGTAAGTTGGCACGGGGGCGAACTCGCCTGACCCAGGTTGCCTTCGCCGCGATCTGAATGCCACACTGTCCATTGACAATCCTGGATCTAAACGCTGCAGGAAGAATTAGCCTATTATCCGTTGCAATTTTTCCAGAATTTCACTGGTACAATGAAGGTTGGGTTTATTAAACCAGAAAGGCTCGGTAGCAGGTGTCCGCACCTGCGAGATATGATATAGCCATGAGATTGCTACAAAAGTTGCTCGTTCGAATCGGGCCCGAGCCATACAAAAGCCGCTCCAGAGCCTTTTTCCCATCGCAGCTCAGTCGGTCGGACGAAGCGGAGCGCACGCTGAATTGGCCATTTTGTTGCGTGTCCTTTGCAGGTGCTGCGGTGTCCACCGATTTTTCCACGTTGACCCAGACGCAATCAACAGCATGTTCTTCTAGTGGCTTTCATCCAAAGTGTTTGGGTGTCTTGAAGATTTGTATTGTACTCAGAAAGGCTCGGATGCGGATGGTCCGCACCCGCGAGGTATACTAGCTCAAAATCTTGATCCAGAAGTTGCTCGTTCGAATCGAGCCCGAGCCATAGCCGCTTACGTAGCAGTTTTTTTTTGTTCTCCAAGTCCAGCGTGAAGAAGACAGGGCAAACTCAGCTTTTTTCGACCCGTCGCGTTCTAATTTTATTTTGAGCAGCGCAGTGAGTTCGGAATTTTGTAGGCACATTAGATCCGAGTGGTGCACTTTAGATGTAAATTTCGCGATTCACGCAGAAGTAACTCGTTCGAATTGGGCCCAAGTTATTCTTGCGCTCGCGGCGTGTTTGGTCCGCACCTGCGATAAATTTTCAGGTCGCAGAACTCACCTGAAGCAGGTCGCTCGTTCGAATCGAGCCCGAGCTGTGATGAGGAGGAAGGTGTTTTTTTTTTTGGCGTGCTCTTTCGAATTCGGCACAGGGCGAACTCTCAGGCTGCTGCCAACCCAGGAGGCTTTTTTTGTTCTGAACGCCGTGGTGTCCAATCCTAGATCCAGATGTTCCAGGAAGAATTAAGTAGGTTGTTACTCGTCGCAGTTCGTCCAGAATTTTGCTAGTACGATCAAGTTCTGGATTATGCTCAGAATGGCTTGGAGGCGGATGGTCCGTACCTGTGAGATAGGTCATGGATGACATCTTGCTGCAGGAGTTGCTCGTTCGAATCGAGCCCGAGCCATGATCAGGCTTGATGACATCTTTTTGGCTTTCTGTGCTGAACTTGAAGTCAGTACAGGACGAACTCACCTGACCCGGGTTCTTTCTCCATTTCCTGAATGCCGCGGTGTCCTAAATTCAGACGCTACAGGAAGAGTTAAAGTATGTTGTTACTTGTCGCAGTTCGTCCAGAATGTTGCTAGTACAATGAAGGTCTGGAGTATGCTCAGAATGGCTTGGAGGCGGATGGTCCGTACCTGTGAGATATACCATGAATGGGCCAATGTATTGCTGCAGGAGTTGCTCGTTCGAATCGAGCCCGAGCCATGATTAGGTCCACCTCGACAATGGACGAAGCGGGGCACAACCTGAATTGGCTATTTGTTGCGTGTCCTTTGCAGGTGCTGCGGTGTCCACTGATTGTACCACGCCGATCCAGACTCCGCAATTCTTGTAGTGGCTTTCATCCAGAGAATGTTCGCATGTCTCAAAGTTTTGGAGTGTGCTCAGAAAGGCTTGGAGGCGGATGGTCCGCACCTGCGATACATCATGATGTATTTGCAGAACTTAATCGTGGCAGGTTCGCTCGTTCGATTCGGGCCCAAGCCATTCTCTGATACAAGTGCTCTTTTGTTTTTCCAAACGCAGAATCGATCCTGAGCCGTGCAGCGAGGGTGGTGAATCCTTTTTTGGCTCTCTCGGAGTCTCTCTCTCTCGAAGTCAGCTCAGGGTGAACTCGCTTGACCCAGGTTGCCTTTTCCGCGTTGTTTTGAACGCCGCGGTGTCCAGCCTTGGATTCAGACACTGCAGGAAAAATTGGGTTATTACTCGTTTGCAGTTTGTCCAGAATTTTGCTAGTATGATCGAGTTCTGGATTATGCTCAGAACGGCTTGGTAGCGGGTGGTCCGCGTCTGCGAGATATAACTGGTGCCAGGTGGCCATTTGCTGCAGAAGTTGCTCGTTCGAATCGAGCCCGAGCCATAATATAGCGTTGAATTTTTTTCTTCTCGTGAAGAACATTGTAGGACGAACTCAACTTGCCTTTAACCGTTGCGTTCTAATTTTATTTTGAGCACTGCAGTGAGCGGCAGAGTTTTGCAACGCCAACGCAGATCCGAGCGGTGCACTTCCAGGCCCAAACGAGAAAGCAAGCTGCAAGATATTCCGAGGTCGTTCATGGGTTTGAAAGGGCTTGGTAGCGGATGGTCCGCGTCTGCAAGTTGTGGACCGAGTGGTGCATCGACAGTTTACGCAGAAATCGTTCGTTCGATTCGGGCCCAAGCCATAGGTCTTCTCCGGCTAACTTTTTTTGGCGAGCAATAAACACTCCGTGAGTCCAAATTAGGTCAGCGCTTTCCCCCTCGTAGTACGTGAGTGCTCCCAAGCTTCCAGAGGTGCGGATTTGTGGCTGAGGATTTGCGTGTGATTGTCTGCCTGCCACTTAAAAAGGCTAGAGTGTTTTCACTACTGTCAGGGTCCTCGATTTTCTTCGTCCCTGGACTCTGGAGGCTTTATGTCGCCATAGCACGAACATGGAGAATGTCTTACAGTTGTCCAGGTGAAACGGGTTAGGAGACAATCTGATCCCGTGATCATTTCTCGTTCTTCCTGTCGCCACCATGTCCATTTTGTGAATTCCCCTTCGCGCACCCTGTGGCCCAAGCCAACGCATAGAAACCGCACATAAAACAACAAGAAGAAAAACCCTAATGCACATGTCCCTCCAAGCAATATGCTCGACCACTACTACACCCCGCGCGACCTCTCCGACCTCGAGACACAGCCCAATCCCATGCTCACCGACATCGTGAGCGTGACCGCGAAGCCTCGGACCACTGCGCCAGGGTTTGTCGACCTGAGCGCGCTCGCGCTGGAGCAGCTTGTCGCGTTCGACTGCGATGACTCGGACAGCGACAGCGGATCAGACGACGGCTATGTGTCTACCCTGCTGCGCATCCAACGCGCGGCTGCTCCTATCGTTGCGCCGAGGAAGATTGCGGGCGCGAGGAGGGTCGCGCGGGCGGCGTCGGCGCCCTTGCGCGTGACCAGCGATATGATAGACGTGGACGTGCCGATAACGAAGAGGACCGCGAAGAAGGCCGAGGGGGAGCTCTTCCAAAGTATCACTGCAATTCCAGGGCTCGAGAGCGCCAGCTTCGAGGTGAGTCGCGTCCCCTGTCTTTGCCCCCTGTTTGCCCGATGCAGACGGAAAAAATTGCTCGTCGTATTGCGTCATCACGACGCACGATGGCAGAGCTCCTATTTTGATTCTGGCTCGCATCTATGTATTTTGGGGTTCTTCTTGCGACGGCGGCTTGGTCGTCTGGAGGCACTCTCCTATTTTATCGAATTTCTCACACTCATTTCGTCGTCCAGGAACTCCGCCTCGAAACCTACCGTCAATCACTCGTCGCAACCGGCACTGCGCGCCCCCAGCCCGCATTCGCCCCCGCCGTCGTCATCCCCCCCGCTTTTGCCCCCCAGTTCTTCGAGCCCAGCGAGGACATGGACGCAGACACCGACACAGACGTCGAGATGGTCGACGTCGACGGCGTGGAGGTGCAGGACGGGATGACACTGGACCCACGCAAGACACAGGACCCGCGCAAGCCCCAGCCCCAGCCGATACAAACCTTCAAGTCCGCGCCGTTCGCGTTCCGTGCGGCGTCGTACCCGCCCCCATCGCATCAGCAGCAGTGGGGATGAGCGCTGAGCGTGGAGGCCTGTCTTTCCTCTCTTCCTTCTCTTTTCCCTACTCTGCTCCCGTCCACCTCTTCCCGCCGCCGGGTCCTGTTCCTTCCTGCTTTTCCGCCTCATCCTCTCCTCTTGCCTCCAACCTCTCCGCGCCCCATTCGCCATTCCCTCCTGCTCCGCGTCTTGTATGTACCTAATCCCATGCTCCCCTCCCACTCATCCTCCTCAATTCATCGTCCTTCCTTCCGCTGCACATACATACATGCTCCTTGCACATCTCGACCCGAACCCCACTTCTTCTCTTCTCTTCTCTTATGCCGTAGTCCTTATAGTTTTGTCGATGTTGTTGTTCTTTTAGTTTCACTTATGTATGCTGCAGTATCTACTCTTCTCTTAGATAGAATGTCAATGCCATCATCTCATCCACTCGTCTCGCTGTGCCGTGAAAAATTTGAATTTCAGTCGCTGTGTGCTTCAAGAGTAGGCATCCTATTCTCATTGATAATAAAATGAAATCTAAAAGTTACTTGGAACTAATGCTACATGGTTATGTATCGTAAGTGTGAGTGCGTCTGTCTTGTTCATTGTCTACTTCTACCTACCGCCCGACTTCAAAATTAAATCAAGTTTATACATGTACTTTTCCTGCCTCTCCCCTCCTCCTCCCGCCTCCCGCCTCCCCGCGCCGTGCATGGATGAATGAATGGTCCACGCATCGCGGGACCGACCACCTCGTGGCGCGCTGCGTCTGTTTCAGCGCGCGAGATTGCACTTGCGGCGTGCGTGTACGATCTCCATTTCCATCGACCACGTATGAAGCACGACGAGCGCCTAGAACCGCTTGACGTACGGCAGCGCACTCGCTTTCGGTGTCTCGGCGAGGTCCGCGCCCCCGATGCGGTCGCTATCGTCCGAGCTCGAGTCCGAGTCGCTCTCAGAGTTAGACGAACTCTCCGACGAGCTCGAATCCGAGTGAGACTTGGCCGCCGCGTCTATCGCCTCCTTCATCGCCTTCACCCACTTCTCCCTCGTCTTCTCCCTCGCCACTTGCGCCCTCGCCCACGCCTCCTCCCTCTCCGCCCTCCTCTCCGCCCTCCTCAACCGCTCCCTTATCTCCCCCAACGTCTCCCGTCCCCACGTCCCCTCCACCACCCCCGCTGCCTCTCCCTTTCCTCCCCCTCTCCCTTGCGAGTGCCTCCGCGCGGAACTCCCGCGCCATCCTCCGCGCCCAGCCCTCCCTCGCCCCGTCCGCGGGCCCGGCCGTCGACACACCATGCGCGTGCGCGTGGTGTACGTCCGCGGACTCCTCCCACGCCGGCCCGCCAAGCGCCTCGCGCCACGGCTCCGCCACGAACCGCACATTCACCCCCGCGCGCGCGTACGCGGGCGCCTGCACGGGCAGCAGCGTCCGCGCGCGCGCCGCCGCCTGCGCGTCCGTGAACGCCACCAGCGCGTGCAGCTCGTACACCCACTGCTTCTCTCCGGCGTGCCCCGACGCAGCAGAAGACGCAGAAGCAGACATAGACGTAGACGCGGAGGGCGCAGGCACCCGCACCCCCGCACCCACACCCCCTCCAGCGCGCCAAACGCGCCAAAGTCCGCGCGCACCCGCGCCTCCGCCTCCGTCCGCGCTCCCTCCAGCACGCGCGCCTGCGCCGCCTCCCGCGCGGCCCGCAGCTCCGCCTCGAGGGTGCGCTCGCGCACGAGCGCGTTGCGCAGCGCGGCGGCGTACGCGGCCGTCGCGGGGTCTTTGGGTTCGGGTTCAGCGTCGGGGCCCGTTTCGTTGGTGTTTCCTTGGCCTTCCTCAGGGGGCTGCCCGAACGCGCGACGGCGCTCCACCCCGCGCAGTTCGTCGTCGGTGTGCGAGGAAGGAGCGGGCGAAGGCGAAGGAGCGAACACCGGCACGCCGGACCCGGGCACGCGCAGCGCGAGCCAGCGGGTTTCCGTCACGCGCACGAACGGGTGCGCGGCCCCGGCCCCTTTGGGGTGGTTTAGCCCCACGGAGACGAGGATGCTGTGCGGGAACGTGGAGGCGAGGTGCGTTTGCGCGCTGTGGGGTGGGGGTGCGTTCGTGAGTGACATGTCAAAGTCGAGCCTGATTTTTTCTGGAGGAAAAGGGAGGGAGAGAAGGAGGAAGGAAGGAGGGGAAGGAAGGAAGGAAGGAACGGAAGGAACGGAAAGTAAAGAACGGAGGGAGGGAAGGAAAGGAAGGGAAGGGAGCGCAGGGGCATGGGTGGAGGAAAGTGGCAGGTAGTAAAATAGGGAGGAATCGTATCGACACGAAAGACGTACCGCTCTAACACAGCCGCTACTGCTGGGTGGGTCGGCTGCCGCTTCTCCTTCTGCTCGTTCTCGTTCTCATTCTCGTTCTCATTCTCCCTCTCCTGCTCCTTGTCGCCTGGCGACGAGGACTCCGCCTTCGTGGTCGCATTTGTGTTCGTGTTTGTATCCGTATCCGACGCTGAAGCCTCCGCCGCCTTCGTGCGCTGGGAGGTGTGGGTTTCGATTTCGGTGTTGGTGTCGGTTTGGGGTCCAAGAGCAGGAGTAGGAGCAGGAGTAGAAGCAGGAGTAGGAGTAGGAAGAGGAGTAGGAGTAAGCTCGTCTGTTGTTTCGGGATCACGAGCGACGGATGCAGAGTCAGCACTGGCGGATTCAGCCGCGACGCCGCTTTCGCGCCCCTGCAGCGGCGTCTCCAACTGACTCCACATCGTTTCGAGCACCCGTGCGCGCGCGCGGATCTCGCTCTCGGCCTCGCGCTCCCGTTCCCGTTCTTTCTCTGCGGCCTCTTTCTCTGCCTTTTCCTTGTCCTCTGCGTCTGCACGTTCCTCGCCGTCGTTCACGGCCATGACCCCTTTCTCGTGCATCTCTACCTGCCTCCTTGCGGCGGCGACCCGGGCCTGGGCCGCGTCGGTCGAGAGAAGCGTCCCCACGGCGTCGCGCCACGCGGGCGTGTTGGCCGCCAGCAAAGCGAGGTCCGCGCGCGTATATTCCGCTGCGTGTTCAGGCGGGGGGAACGGGCGCACGGAGGGGGTGGGGGTGGGGGTGAGGTCGCTAGCAGATTCGGCGGGCGAGGGGGTCGGGAGACAGACCTCGAGCAGGGGCGGCGCGGAGCGGAACGCGCGCGCGAGGGCGGCGTCGCGAAAGTGGATGACCTTTTGTTTTTGGAAGAATCAGAGTGAGCATGACAGGAAAAGAAAAGAAAAAAGGAGGAAAAGACGTACCGCGCCGAGGATCCACGGTAGCTGCGTCAGATTAGCGTCGCTCTGACTTTCGTTTTCGACCTGCTCCTTCTTCTCGTTCTCCGCGCCGTCCCTCGCCTCCTTGCGCATACTTTTGATCCACAGCTGCATGCCCAGTACGTCGGCGGGTGCTGCGCCCGCGCGCACGGCAATGCGGGCGAGGTCGGCGGTGGTCGTGAAGGGCGGGAGGCCGACAAGCGCGACGGACGTCGGGAGCGGGCGGGGCGGGGATGCTTCGGGGGAGAAAGACGCGCCGGTGCGCAGGGCCCAGTTTTTCGCGGCCTTGTGGCCAAAGACGAGCATGGGCGGCGGGGCGCGCGTGACGAGGACCTCGTCGTCCCCATCGGTCAATTTTAGCTTGGGCGATGGCTTGAATCCGGGTTTAAACTTGGGAACCTTGGGCTTCGCGTCAACTTGCGCTATGAGAGCGCTCAGGGGACCTGTCGGAGGCGGAGGGAGCTTGGGTTCGACCTCGTGCGCGCTGGATGTCGAGATCTTGAAGACGCGATCGAGTTGTATTACATCTGGCATCTTTCGATTGAGCTTTTCTTTTCGCTTCGCGGCTTTCCCGCCTTTGGGGGCGCCATCCGAGTCATTTTGGCCCGAGGAGGACGCGTTTTCCACGCTGGTGCTTGGATTTTCGGAGGAAGGAGCGGAGAAGTGGCGGCTGCCTAGTCTGGTTATGAAACGGCTGCTAGAGGCGTATCGACATGCGCTCGCGAATGCACAGGAGGAGCGAACCGCAGAGGGCGGCAGGCAGGCGAGCATAACATCGAAAATATAACCGGGCGAGGGTGTCGGATTATAACAAGGCCAAAGTATGCCTCGATTTGGGAACTCCAGTTCAAGATGAAGAAATTGCCAAGAAATCTCAAAAGACATGCGCGCTCCTCCTGCTCAACTGACTGTGCGGGGTGGATTGAAAAAAATTCTTAGAGTATACACACCACATGCCCACGGCGGGAGTCGAACCCACATCTCCTCACGTGAACTCATACCTGGACTAGCAGATTGAGGTAGGGTCGTGTATATAATTCCTGTTTGCAAACCGGTTTATAAACCAGTGTTTGTAAACCCAGTTTTTAAATGGTGGGGTAAAATGGCCGGTTTTTAATTGTCTCGGCAACCCGGGCCGTCGGGAATTCTTGAGTCGAAACAAAGTTGAAACTCACAGAAACCAGCTATTATCCTTCATTTCCCCTCTCTTAATCAAGTAACACTGCTATCAAACAAATAGAATATGCCGCTGGTGATTTACATGAGGATCCACAGGTCAGCTGACAGTAAAGCGCGAGAGAAGGGGGTTTCCTGAGCTACCTGACAGCAGTTCCAAGCCATGGAGCCCAGATGAAGTCGCAGAAGCTGCGAGAGACCCCAGGGAGCAGAGAAGAAGGCAAAAATTCAGTTTTTAGGCCAGAAAATGAATTTTTGGGTACCCTGTTTGTAAACCGGTTTATAAACGGCCTGTTTACAAACCAAAATTAAAAACCGGTTTTTAATCCGCTGCGAATTATATACACGACCCTAATTGAGGTGATCACCGTGATCAACAGAGGCCTGTCTGCCTTTGGTCCCACATGGAATAAGTCTGAATGAGTTGAGAAGAATTCTTGTTCATCCATGCGCCATGGCATATAATCATCCAATTTTGATTCACCCCCTTAAAAATGGCTTCATACTAAAGTTTAAACTCTGGGACTCTGCTTCGAGTATTAATACATACATAGAGGCGAACCAAAAACAAATGCCACAAACAGTATCGTCATGCCTCTGGTGGGAGTTGAACCCACGTCTCCTCATCGATGCGAACAAGGCTTGTAACTGGCCGAGGCGATCACCATGATCCACAGTGGCTTGAAGCTCTTGAATCGGATGACACCATCCTCTGCGATGCAATGAATTTATTCCTGGATCAGTCCACAGCATGTGGCCCAGTGGCCCGGTAAAAGAAGCCAAATAAAACTGATTCAACAATTGAACCAAAAACACAAAGCTTTGAGTCTCGGGCTGCTCAGTCATTCAACGGTGCAGGATAGGTACTTACTACGTAAGGGAGGAAAGCAAAGAAGAAAAAAACGCTCTGGGGAATCCAGATGCCTCTGGTGGGAGTCGAACCCACATCTCCTCATGAAATCGGAGAAAGTCAGTTGGTAACTGGTTGAGACGATCACCACGATCCACAGAGGCTTAAAACCCTTGAATGTGAGGCGGTACTTATAATGACGACACCATGCTCTGGGATGCAATAAATTTATTCCTGGATCAGTCCACAGCGCCATGCCAACTTGGGTAAAAACCAATGATAACATCTGAACCAAAACTTTGAGCTTGCTCAATTAACTTAGCCACGGCATGATTCAACAAAAGAGGAGGCGGAGAGTAAATAATAAAAATCTCGGTTCAGGCGCCCCATGCCTCCGGTGGGAGTTGAACCCACTTGTCCTCATGAAATCCGAATGTCAGCTGGCTAACTAACTGGTTGAAGCGATCACCGTGATCCGCAGAGGCTTGATACCTTTGAATCTGAGGTGGTACTTATACGTATGACACCATGCTCTGGGGTGCACAGCATGTGCAATGAATTTGTTCCTTGAAGTTGATCAGTCCACAGCAGGTGTGTGTGGACTTGGGTAATAAATCAAAAATTCAGATTCAACAATTTGAATCAAAAACTTTGCAGTCGCCTAGCAGTGCGGGATGGGTACGTTCACAGAAGCGAGAGAGGCAAAAAAAAGACCCCCTTGAGTACGGGTGGGAGTCAAACCCACGTGTCCTCATACCAGTCGGAGGTTCTTGGTTAACCAGCTGAGGTGATCACCATGATCTAATACAGAGGCTTAAAGATCTTGGATGTGACTCAAGTGGTACTTATATCATGCTATACTTTGGGATGTGCCCCATGCCTGCATAGGGCTACCTGAATTTAGTCCTGGAGTCAACTCAGTCTATAGCAGCCATACGGACTTGGATTAAAGACCAAAGAAATTGGGTTCAACATTCGAACCAAACCTTAGACCTGGGGCTTCTCTGTGTGACCGTCAGTTGGCACTTCGAGATGAGTACGTCCGACACAAGGGAGGGAAAAGCAAAAAGAAAAACGCTTCCGGAATCCGTATGCTTCTGCTGGGAGTTGAACCCACGTCTCCCCATGAATTGAAGATGCAGTAGAAGAGAAGCAGCTATTTGAGGCGATCAACTTGATCTGCTGAGGCTGAAATCTCTCAGAGGCGAGGTTGCATATACCTCAGGATGCAATGTGTGATGAATTTGAATTTCATTCTTTGATTAATCCACAGCAGCCATGTGGCCATGTGGACTTATGCTAAAGACCAAAAAAATTGGGCTCAACATTTGAACCAAAAGCTTTGACCTTGGCGCTGCTCATTCACCTGACCGTGGGCGGGATGGGTATGTACAATGCAAGGAAGACAAAAGCCAAAACAAAGATCACCGGGAAGATATATGCCTCTGGTGGGAGTCGAACCCACGTCTCCTCGAGAAGTACCAGCTAGACCTTCCAAGAGATTGAGGTGATCACCGCGATCCACAGAGGATTAAAGCTCTTGGGTGCGAGGTGGTACTTGTACAAGTGCCACATACCATGTATGTATAACAATTTCATTTCTTGATTCATCTCAGTCCTCAGCAGGTGTGGACTGGTGTAAGAGACTAAAAAAATTCTGATGCAACATTTTAACCAGAACGACACACAGCTTTGAGCTTCCTCAACTAGAGTAACTTAGCAGTGAGGCGCAATTCAACCAAAGACAAGGCAGAGAGTAAATAAAAAAACCGCAAATCAGATGTCCAATGCCCCTGGTGGGAGTTGAACCCACATCTCCTCCTGACACGAAGATCGACTAACAAGTTGAGGTGATCACCACAATCCACAGAGGCTTTAAACCCTTGGATCTGAGGTGGTATTTATAATGACAACATCATGCTCTGCATGTGCGATGAAGTTATTCCTACAGCAGCAATGTGGCCATGTGGGCTTGTATTAAAGACCAAAGAAAAAAAAAGATTCAACATTGGTTTGAGCCCGGATATCTAGCAGTCCAGGATAGGTACGTACTTACTACGCAAGGGAGAGAAAATCAAAAAGGAATCAAATCACAGCCATTTATGCCTCTGGTGGGAGTCGAACCCACATCTCCCCATGGACTGAGGTGACTAGAATACCCAGTTGAGGTGATCACCGCGATCCACAAAGGCTAAAAGCTCTCAGAGGCGAGGTTGTACCTCAGAATGCATAGCATGTACAATGAATTTAAATTTTATTCCTTGATCAGTCCACAGCAGCCACGTGGCCATGTGAACTTATGTTAAAGACCAAAAAAATTGGGTTCAACATCTGAACCAAACTTAAGCCTTGACCTTGGCGCTGCTCATTCACCTGGCCGTGCACGGGATGGGTAAATATGACACAAGGGGGGGGGGAAAGCTAAAACGATATTACCCGGAAGATGCCTCTGGTGGGAGTCGAACCCATGTCTCCTCGAGAAGTGGGTCCTTCCTGGTATAAGAGATTGAGGTGATCACCGTGATCAACAGAGGCTTAACGCTCTTGGATGCGAGGTGGTACTTGTACCAGTGCCACATATCATGTATGTACAATAAATTCATCCCTTGATTCATTTCAGTCCTCAGCAGGTGTGGAATGGTGTGAAAGACTAAAAAAAATCTGATGCAACATTTGAACCAAAACAACGAACATCTTTGAGCTTCCTCAACTAGAGTAACTTAGCAGCGAGGCACAATTCAACAAAAGACAAGGTGGAGAGTAAATAAAAAAACCACAAATCAGACACCCCCGGTGGGAGTTGAACGCACATCTCCTCCTGACGTGAAAATTGACTAACCAGGTGAGGCGATCACCACAACCCACAGACACTTGTCCACCTTTAGTGTAAGGTAGAATAAGTCTGAGTAGAATTCTGATTCATTGACATCCGTGGCATATAGCCGGAATATTCAATTTGGAGAAAGTCTCATAGCAAACTCTTGGACTCCGCTTCTTGGTAGGGACGAGTACATACATAAGCCGGGAAGCAAAAATAATCACGGCAAAAACAACCATGCATTCACCATATACCTCTGGTAGGACTTGAACCCACGTCCCCTCATGAAATGTGCTTCCCCCGTACTACTGGTCAGCTGGCAGTGAGGCAATCACCATGATCCACAGAGGTTACAACCCTTCAATGTGAGGTGGTACTTACTACTTTACTCTTTACTACTTGTATAAGTGCTAGAGTTCGGGATGACTTTATTGCTTGGGTGGACTTAACACTGTTCCTGCTCAACATTTGAGCCAAGAACTTGGATTGGGCCTTTTCAGCCCTCACAGTGCAGTGCTACACAAGGGAGAGAAAAGCAAAAAGGGAATCTATCACAGTCGCTTATGCCTCTGGTAGGAATCAAACTCACATCTCCTCGTGAAGAGTGGAGGTAGATTTTCAACCAGTTAAAGTGCTCACCGCAATCCACAGAAGCTTAAAGCCTGTTGATGCAAGGTGGTATATACCAGTGCCACATAGCATGTATGTATAACAAATTTATTCCTTGATTTGTTTCACTTCACAGCGACAACCATGTGAAAAAAAATCTGAGTCAACATTTGGATTTGAACCGAAACAACAAACACCTTTGAGCTTCCCAACTAGTAGCAAGATTCAACAAAAGAAAAGGCGGAGAGTAAACAAAAGAATCGTCGCAAATCACACATGTACATTTCATTCAACTGGGTTTCAGATCAGACCATGTCAATGGGTGACTTCCCGTAAGACAAATCTGTGTAAAATCACATACTTTCGTCGTTTGCCGGGATGCCGACGCTCCCATCAGGACCCCATCGGCGCTAGATCTCGCTTACACTCCATCTGACCCTCGTATACTCGAGTATTTGTTCGGGGGGTCCTGACTCCCCGAACAGAACAAAATTTGTTGTAACAAACCGAAAATGGAAATCTCTGATCACGGCGCGTGCCTCGAGGCTCGCGTCATTATCATATCACCTTTCCCTCCACTCTCTTCTCTCTCCTAGTACATCAACGAACCACTGGCTTTGTTCAGCACCCTCAGGCAAGCATAACATGCTTATCCATCTATCTATGCTGCCCCAAATTCACATGCTAGTGGCGGCACTGCGCTGTCGCATACCTCCATATTTTTTTCTCTTATTTTTATTTTGAACAGCATGATATTGAAGGGACCGAGAGAATGAGTTTTCTACCTCTATATACTGTACCAGTCTTTGTGAGTGCTCCTCTGACCACTGAGACCCGCTTCTGCAATGATGCGGGACGTGAGTGACGCGTGATGATGTTGCTTGACAGAGCCTTCGGGATTGTTCCGTGAAAGTGTTGCCGGAGTGTCTTACGGGTAGTCAACATGAATACAGATTAGTTTTTCTTCACATACTTCCCATCATTGGCACCGCGAAGTATCTGAAAAATACAGATTTGTCTTACGGGAAGTCACCCAATGGTATTCTATTATGATTCAACCACAACTCGCCATTTGCATACGTTTCTGGTAGGAGTCAAACCCATGACTCCTCATAAAGAGTGAAAATTGATTGTGAACTCAATCAAGATGATCACCGTGATCTACAAACGCTCAAAATCCTTCGACGCAAGGTGGTAATTTATGTGAGTGCCATAATTCTGGATGTGCCCTGTAGATACTCTAGATACTCAGGCTTACATGCGAATTTTTCTTTGATTCCAGTCCACAGCAGGTGGACTTGGGTGACAGACCCAAAAGATTTTGATTCAATAATTTGAACCAAAAACTTTGAGCTTGGGACTTCTCGGTTACTTGGTGGTGCCGGATGATTAATACGCATGGGGAGAAAAGCAAAAAGACATTTTCCAGAAAGACATATGCTTCCGATGGGAGTGGGACCCACTTCCCATGATATCTGAGATGTGGTAGAGAAGCAACTATTTAAGGCAATCACCATGATCCACAGAGGCTTAAAGCTATTGGCTCCGAGTTGTTCCATACGAGTACCATATGTCGGGATGCATGTACCTATAATGGATTTATTCCTTGATCAGTCCATGGACTCGTGTAAGAGACTAAAAAAATATGGTACTAATGAGTGTCAGTCAAGTCTATCTGTCGAGCATAAATCTAGATTATTGTAATTTTAGAGCTACCTCGACAACATCCAGACAGAA